GCATTGAAACAGCACTAAAGCCCAAAGGACCACAAGGGCCTTATGTTGCACCAGTGTTGGAGGATGTGGAGAGTCACCATATTATTTGTAGGCAGAGCAGTCTGAATTGCCCAGGGCAAAATACAAGAAAACCCAGCAGGGTAGGAATGGATATGCTAGAGAGGTTTTCCATTTACCTATTTTTTTTGTAAGATTATGTTTTCCTAAGATTATGTTTTCCTAATCTATATGTAACAAAACCTCACAAATAGAAGGGAATTGTATTTCGGTAGAGTACTTAAAGAGCTGCTCTGGGAGCATTACCAGGTTTAAGATTATTTCACATTTTCTTCAAAGGTGTGTATGTATGCATAAACTCACTGCCAATTGTATTTGTGGACAACCCAACAGCTGACACTGATGAACAAAAGAACTGGGCCATCACACAGAAGTTCTGCAACAAATGATAAAGCATGCTGTTCAAAACTTCTATTATTCTTCAATACCCACATCTCAGGTTACACATCCAGGAAAAGAACACAAAGCTATACCCTGGGAAAACAAGCCATACACTGGGAAAACATCAGAGTGAAAAACTACTGACTCTGAAAAAGGGATCAAGGTCATAAGGGACAGGGGATTGAGCACAAGATCTCAACTTAGCGTGGTGTGTTAAGTGACAAAATGTGACACTCACCCTGGAAGCACAATCAATAGTGTACAAAGAAAGCAGGGATTTTACCTGTACAGAGATCAATATAAAAAACAGTAATAGAGATTTATCTCCTTCTTAGAAGAAGATTGCAAATTCCCCCTCACGGTGATGGGACTAAGGAAGGCAGGTATAACACAAGGTTTTAGGAAGTCAACCCATGCATTTCACTGCATCTTTTTTTTTTTTAACATTCAAATGCATTCCAGCAGGACGACATAAGATACTACTCACCTCTTGCAGAGCCATCCCTTCTTTTCCAAGAAGTGAAAACTGAAGTCAAATTGTAATCACAATACACCCATGCTCTTTCTACAGAGCGATTACTAGCTATTGAAATATTCCATCAAGAGAAAACATAATCAGATTTTATACCATTTTCAAGACCTAATGCTTTTTCTGGCATAAAAAGCTTCACAGAAGTTCAGACTAGATGAAAAGTGTCATACTGTTACCTTAACTAGTAATATAAAGTAGGAAGGGACCTGAATTTCCCATCTCAGCTGATAAAGGGCTTTATGGAGTTTTTGCCCATAAATTGACCAACACAAATTTTTACACATTCAATTATCAATCCCCTCAACGCACTATTAAGTCTCATCTTCCTCAGCATGCCAACAATCCAGCAACAGATTTCTTCCCACTAAGAATCCCAGAAATCATCCTGCTATGACTGTTGGTGAGGTACAGCTGCTACAGAACTAAAACCTTGAGAAAACAGCTAATAAATATTTGACCTTTGTGACCTCAGAAAGACTTCAAAACTTTCCTTACCAAAAGACCCTCTGAAGTTCCTGTCAGAAATTGACTTGGGAAAGTTCATATTCCTCTTCGATTGGTAATGAAAGACAACACAATACAATTTTACAGTAGCACAGTTTATCATTAGAACTTATGAATTCCGATCCAATTTCTGCTTTGCTATTTTTCTGTAGCTCCTTTTAAAGCAATAGTAGCAATACTGCAGATTTAAAAAATCTTGTTCTAGGTCACAGAGATTTACTTGTAATATTTCCTCTGCTACTAAAATATCTTTAGGGAAATTATTCCATTCCATTTCACTGCAGCCCATTAGTACCTACAGGCCAGCCGAGAAAGAATATTGCATATGAAAGCCTCCATCAAGACACACCAATCTCAGCTTGACATAAAAATATATTTCCAATGTTCAGCTACTAAAATACATCATTACTTGAAATACATTACCTTCTAGTACCTAATTAAGCAACTGTTAAAATGCTAACCTTGTTGCTTCTTCCACTTTCAGTGTTCAAGAACATTATAAATTAGCCTACTGCAAATCCTGAAAATAAAGCATAGTCCACTTCAAGAAGCTGCTCTCTATGTTTACAGAATTTTCTACAGACCGCCAACCAAGTCATTGTGAAATGTGCCACTTACAGAAATAACTGGTTAATTATTTTCTGAAGATATCTGCAATAAAACCAGAAAATTCAGCAGGTAGATTTGGAAAAAGAAAAATGAGAAAGGATCTTAAGGTTTCTGGTCATTATTCTGTCAACTACAACTTACGACTGGAATTAAGCTGTTGTGCTCTTCAGCTTTAGACAAGACACATATTTACAATAAATGCATTCTAAATGTATTTAGATTCTAAATGACCACATATCAAGGCAGCATAAAATTCATCATGCTAACAAAGCTGCCAGAGTTCTGTTTTTGTAAATTTTCTAACCACAGGCTTGAACAACAAATACTGCTTACCACCTACATTCTGTGGCTGCATTTTTAGATGATGACTTCATTTAATGCTGCTCTTGTGAGTAGAAGGTGTCAACCTAGTTTGTTCCAAGTTTTCACTGAAAACATGTAATTTTAAATGTTTTCTTTGGATAAAAGCATCTCATCCAACCTGCTAATCTCCAGAAACTTTAAGAAGTGAAGAGAGACTGGACAACCAATTCCTTATGCCATCCAGTGAATAATGAAGCTCTTTTTAATACAAATGCACCCAGTCCAGGTGCAGAAAATATTTCAAAAGTAAGGTTTTAGAGATACTTTGTATTTTATCTCCTTCTGAGAGGCACATCTTAAATACTAAATGTGTGGTACTTTTTAAATACCAAGGCCTTTCCCTCACTTTTCAACATATGTACACATGGGCCTTTGTTAAACAGACTCATATGTTTATCGCTCTGTACTAACTTGAAAGAACAGTTAACAGCCTAAAGAATTTTCAGAGTAAATAACCACAGCCTATTTTTTATCATCATAAACATGTGAGCAGTTCTGAAGTATGTGTTTACAGCTCTGTAAATACAACTGTTTGCAGGACTGGACCACAGAGAGAACATTTTAATTGCTGGAACAGGATGTTGTAACACAGACAGGTCCTAACACTCACAGAGCCACAGACTGCAACATCAGTCTCGACAGCATTTAGCACCCTCTGACTCTCCATCATGGAAAACAAATGAGAAGACAAGAGCAGCAGTGAGGTCTTTGCAAACTCCATTCGTTACTTACTCAATACAAATTATTAGCACTGCTTGTATTTGGGATTCTGAAACTAGTATTAGCCTTTTGCCACCATGCCAACCATTGGCCCTCAACAGCCCAATTTCACAGATCTCATCTTGCAAAATCTACCAAAGAATAGAAACATGTCTTTTTTTTAGTAAAAGTCAGTAAAGTAGCACAAGGCATGAGACAAAAACATCAATATATTTAAATAAAAACATTTTGTGCTTAGGGAAAAAGCTGTAATCAAATGCATAGGACTTAAGGCATTAATGAAATGAACTTTTTCCCAAAGGAGCATTAATATCTCTCAAACAGGACAGTGCTCAAAGTCCCAAGACAATTATATAATTACTTATCTTTAGACAGAGTATTATGTTACACAATATTGGAATTGAACAAGCCTCTTGAGCAAATCAGTATCAAACTACTGATGTTACAGTATTTTCATACCGTCCTAGGTAGTTTAGTGAACCATTAGGAAGTTTTGACACTAACATTATTTTGGATCAAATAATACATGTGTTCTGTTAATTACTAAACCATAAATATTCAATAGATTTAATTTTAACACTTGGTCTCCACTGGATCAAGCTGATTACTAGAAATAAGTCTGTCTAAGATGTAGCAATGTTTCTGGTCCATTAGGACCATTAGGAGAGGCTTAGTGATTATGGCTGAGAAAGGAATAAAGATCACTTGAACAATCAACCTACAAACCCATGTATACCATGGGCATACCATGGGAGACTCCTTGACTACCAAACTCACATACCATTGCCACTCCTCTCTTTAAATGACATTAAAATACCTGCCATCTGGCATTATATTTATTTTTAGTACCTTTTTTATGTTTTTCCCCATGGAAAAAGCTTGTGAGTAATACTTTAGAATTAGAGTGTTAAAGTTAAAAATACTCTTATACACATAAATGATCATTTTAGTGTATGTAAAAAGATAATATGGTAAGTAGGCTGTGGAAAACAGAGGATGCTTACAGCACTTGAACAAATGAACTAGTTTCCACATGATCAGCAGAACACAGAAATATGAAATCAGAGTTGATTTAGGTGGCAAAAATAAAGTCCTACACATACACGGAATGTAAACATTCTCTGACTCATTACAGAACAGTTGCTTAAGACAGAATTAAATAGTCAACATGTGCTCATTCACTGAAGTCATCAGTTTTAGAAACACACAATAAGTGTAGCATGCATCTGTTCAGACTGAATGTGATCATTACATGGCTATAAACTTCAGCCAAGAAAAGAAGTTACTATAGCTCTCTCCCTTCTCACGATTTCCTCATCTTGCTTCATAAATAACTTCAGTCTGAAGTTATTTGAGTTTCCACATGTAAGAGTTACAACACCATTTATTTCTTAAAGGCTTGACACTTAAAGAGGCAGGGACACTGAAGGAAGAAAAAGGAAATGTTCCTTTGGAAAAGCAGGTCTTATACACAACCAGTTAACATTTACCACAGTCATGGTTCAAGCACTATTTAACGCTTCTTACTCCCATAAATCCCACTTCCTTAGCAGTGTGGAACTGAAAAACAGCACTGCTTTCATCTGTTACAGGTTTATTGAGTAGCAAATCTACTGGAGAGGAAGCAGCTTGCACACACATTTTACAACCTTGGTCAAGTCCTCATCTCTGAAAATATCTCTAGTCTGAGAAACCCTCTGAGATGGTCATCTACTAAGGAAACTCTTCCTCAACACATTAAGCGAACTCCCAGTTCCATACCTTGTATTATTTCCAATAGTAAAAGATTATCAGAATTTACAGTAAAGTCACAAAAGACCACTTCAAAACAGAATTACAGCTTCTGCAGCTTGTTCTGGATTTCACATTTTTATTGCAAGTACATGACAAGTACCCATTTTGGCCAGAACTTTCAGCTTTATGCTTGCCTTCTTTTTAACATTTAAATGCACATCCAGGTTAATCTGCTGGAACACTCAGGAGTAGATACCTTCCACGAAAACACTGTATGAAAGGATGCAGCAGGTACGGTACTATCTTCTTATTTTAGTCTCTGTTTTGTGTAGAGTGCTGATGAACCCCAAAGCTCCATGGTGAGGTCTCTTGACGAGGACTTCAGTATCCTTTCCTTCCTCTGAATCTTGCCCTGGTATCCAACTGAAAATTGAAGACAATATATTAAGAGCAGGTATTTTCCAAAAGAGGTATTGTAGAGTGTTTGTGCTACCTTGGCACTTTGTAACAACAGAACAAAGGCCAGAATAAAGCAGAAGAAAACTAGTGATGTAACCAACAAGCCACAGGGGATTCCAATGAAAGAGGGATTATACAATCTTAAACATCACACAAAACTAAAATTATGTGGTAAGTGTCTTATGCATTCTGAAATAAACAACATAAATTATAGAACAGCATAGTAGGATGGCAAGGAACCCATGAAAAACAAGGTAAATCTGCTTAGATAATTTTGCAAATGTAACCGATAAAGTGAAGGAGGAAAATTCAGATCTGGTTGAAGTAAGAGTCAGTAGAAATGTCTGTAAGGAGAGGGATAACTTAAATACACCAAGTTTCTGGAAAAAATATAAGCCAATCAGTAAAAACAGAAACATTATTAAACTTGTAAAATCTGCACATTTAATCTTGGCAATTACAGAAAAAACATTTACTGAAAGGCTAAAGATGATGGTAAACTAAAATAAATGCCACAGTGCAGTACTTACAGAAGCTAAACTGCAAGTTCTTTCCCAATGCAGCAGAAAAACATACTGTGATCTTGGGAGAATCTTTCTGAACTTAGCCATCTTGAAGAGGGCCATGACAGATTGCAACTCAGCCATATTCTGATATTAGACTGAGGAGGTTTCTTTTACCACCATTAACTAACCCTCTTCCAGAATTCAGAACTGCAGCAAAATTTGTAAAGAGCTAGACTCACGATGACACAGCTTGTCCAATAACCAAGCAGCTTTCACTTTCAACCTTGGCCCAACTTCAACATCTAAAGTGTACTAAAGTTATTCCTCTGATTAGACTTCCTCTTTCCTTGAAAAGAAAACAGCATTGAGGTAAAACCCCTGATGATTTTTGCATACTGAAAGTTATATCTGTATTTAGTCTCTAACTTGGTTTTGGACACTCTTTAAGTTTCACTATTATAATGTATACCAAGTTTGACTGAGCATGATTATGGAGATTTACAGAATTAACAGGACACTCATCAATCTTAAAATTTGGGAGAGTTAAATAAAATCATTTAAGAGCCAGGCCCGTCCCTGCATGACTAGAGGCATTTAGCTAGAAACTTTAATCAGGCTCCCTTAACAATTCACAGGCAGAAAAATATAGACATATCATCTGGAGATGCATATGTTGCTACTGCAGCTTTATATAGGTATTTCAAACTTTCAATATACAACATCTTCCCATACACAGAAATAATAATTTGTCACTTTATGGATTAATATGGTTCATATAGAAGAGGTACAAAAAGCTCCTACAATGAATACAAAATGGAAGAAAAATTTAAAGTACCATTGCAGCTTAAAGTACCTTAGCCATTTTGACAGTAAAGAAAAAATTAAGAACATTTTGTATGTAAATGGTTGTAAATTTCTCTTTATTGTAGATAATTGTGTAAAAAAGTTTGAAGTGTCCTTTTTTATTAAAATATTTACAACAGTAAACATGTTAGCAATTTTGTTCAAATATCTTCGCAGTACATTCCTAAAAACAAGTTACTTGTACATTTCTGTAGCTTAAATTTAACTGCAACAAGTCTATGTAGCGTAACTCTTACTGCAGATACTATGCACATACTGGCATAAGCTCTACATTATGAGAGGTTTAAGTGACACCAAAAAAGCAGTTTTATTGAAGAGTAATATTGGAATACCTTGCCTTGGGATTGTGTGAAAGTACAGATCAATAGAGTTGCGATGGTAAAGCAACAACTGGCTCTAGATACAGATCTGTTCTCTCCTTCTATGAGAGATTGTGAGAACAGATTTTCTTTAGTGACTGCTTTAAATATTCATGGACAAATTCTGGCACACAGAAGAAACAGTGATGAAAGGCACAATTAACATGAACCATATCAGGTTTCCAAAGATAGCACCAAGTTTTTTCATCAGAAAAAAAAATTGAAATGAGCCCTGCACTTCTCATGTTTGCAAAGTTTTAATACCATCTTTACCACATCTTAAATATGTTTTAGATGTTATGGAAACACAAGCAAAAACATTTTGGACAAGGAACTTCTATCAAAATACAGAAAACTTTATCTAATTACATTTTTAAAAATTACTTGTCATTTTCATGCAGGATAGTTCATTATATAAAAAGCCAAACTGTTATTTATCATGAATTCTAGTACTCCAAGAAAATTAATGACTCGACATGAATTCAATGCAAAATTCTTGCTTCAACAGTAAAAGTCTCACTTCATTTAAATGCCCTCTTTATAGATGTTTTCGAAAGACCTTACAGACAAAAGATAGCTTGCCAGTATATTTTACTTGATATATTTTACCTGATCTACTAACATTTTTTAACCTAAAACTTTACTAAAAAACAATAGTGAAAATACCTATATCTGAAAATACATCTATACCTATGTCACGCTTACCTGTGACATTCTAAGCCTAATCCAATTTAAACATGCCTTTTTCTAATTTTTCCTACTCTATAGCTTCTTCTTCATGAGAACTGAGTACAATACCCATAGTTTAATCAGGATTCAAAGGCAAGAACTGTTCTGCTTAATGACACCCACCTTAGTAAAATAATGTGTTTTTCTTAAAAAGAGGGGGGAAAGGACAGGAAACATTCAGGCCAGTAGCAGAAAACACCGCACACTTACCATTGATCTTTTGCATGCAAAGAATGTCACTTGCAAACTCCTACAGTGTCCTTCCCTCAAGCATTGTTTAGGGCTTTTGTTTTCCTAATACATGAAAAAATAAAGATTAAAAATTTGATTTCTACAGCTCATCAAAGAGACATCAAAACACTTGACAATCACAGAACAGAATCACGGAACATTGTGACTTGGAAAGCAGCCACAAGGATCATCCAGTCCAACCCTTAAGGGAAGGCCAATACAGGGATGGGACCCACGACCCTGGCACCACGCTCTGGCCAACTGGAAGGGGCTTTTGAGGATTATTTACTGCCGACTTCAGGGACGTTCACTAGGGATTTCGCTTCGGTACGGTGACCTGCGCTCTCCTCCGGAACTGTAATTCCCTAAGGTGCTGCAAACAAGAGGTGAGAGGCCCTGAGGGCGCCCTGCGGGTCTCAGGCCGGGAGGGCAGCGGGCTCACCCGCAGGACGCAGGGGCTCTCCAGCAGGCACTGCCGCAGGTCCTCCCGCACGCCGCTGCAGGCGCGCCCGTCCTCCTCCTTGTCCTCGTAGTACTTGGGCATGGCGGCGAGCCCGGCGCTACGCCCCGCTGCCGCCCGCCGCCATCCCGGGCGCTGCTTCCGGCGGGGGCAGGAAGGGACGGGGCGGCTCCGGGAAGGATCCGAGCGCCTGCGCCGCGGACGGTGCCGGAGGGCTGCGGGAGGCTGCGGAGGCGGCCGTGCTGGCGCTGCCGGCGGGGCGGGGGTCGCGCCGCGGGCCGGGAGCAGGTGAGACCCTGGGCGCGGGGCGGGGCTCGGCGGCGCGGCGCTGCCCGCCCGAGCTGGGCGCAGGCCCGCTGAGGGGGCGGGCGCTCGTCAGCGGCGGCCGGGCCGCTCCTAAGTCATGGAATCGTACACTGCTAAGGGCTGGAACAGACCGTAAAGATCGTATGGTTCCAGCCCCCCGCCGTGGGCAGGGATACCTCCCACTAGACCAGCTTGCTCTGAGCCCCATCCAGCTTGGCCTTGATGGGGCTGGGACTCCCACAGTCTCCCTGGGCAGCCTGTGCCAGTGCCTCATCCCCTCCACAGTAAAGAATTTCTTCCTTGTGTCTAACCTAAATTTCCCCTGTTTCAGTTTGTGCCCGTTACTCCTTGTCCTATCACTGCAGTTCCTGGTGAAGTGTCCCAGCTTCCCTGTTTTCCCCCTTCGGATATTGGGAGGTGCTAGAAGGTCTCCACACAACCTTCTCTTCTAAAGACGGAACTGCCCCAACTTTCCCGGCCTGTCCTCATAAGGGAGGTTCTCCAGCCCTCTTACCAACTCCATGGCCTCCTCTGGACTTGCTCCAACCAATGTTGCTGTTTATGCTTGTGCTCAGATTTAGTCACTTCAGCATTGCAGCCGTGGCCTGCATCGCATTATTTTATTTGTGCCCCATATTGTGTGCAAAAATACATTATTTGAAATTCTTTCTTTAGCAAGATGCTGCCAACCACGTTGGTTAATTCTGGGAGCCAGGGCAATGGTGTGCTGAGCCGCAGGGATGCTGCAAGGCACACGGCCGGAGCAAAACGCTACAAGTACCTCCGGAGGCTCTTCCACTTCCGACAGATGGACTTCGAGTTTGCACTTTGGCAGATGCTTTACCTGTTCACTTCACCACAGAGGGTTTACAGGAACTTTCACTACAGAAAACAGACAAAGGACCAGTGGGCAAGAGATGATCCAGCTTTCCTTGTGCTACTCAGTATCTGGCTCTGCGGTAAGTGAGGGAGAACAGACAGCATAAGGAAGAGGGAGGGAAAGTTCAGGGATGAACGTTTACTTTCCTTCTAATTACACACACACAAAAGGACCAATCTGTATGGATGATCTTTTAATCAAAGTAGAACAGAAGAAAAAGGCCTAGCCTTTTTGAAGTTAAGGTGGGAAGTAGAAATTAGAGTAGGCTTAAGTAGTACTCTGTAGTCTTGAATTGATCTCTCCATTGCAGCAGCTCATGTTCTGTTACATTTTGAACTGCATAGTTCACTGTAACTTTACAGACAGTAAGAAAACTTTATGCCACATAGCAGTGTTTTTGTTTAAAAATACTGAATATTTGCTTTACCTGAATATTATGGATAAAACATTGTTTTTACCATAAAGGCCCTGGTGAGATTCTGTATATTGCAGAATTAAGCTATAAAAAAGTGGCTAGTATAAATGACTGAACTGCAAATTCAGTATTGTCTCAGTTGCCTTCTATTAAATAGTGTATTCCTGTTCATAATACAAAAACTCTTTACTGAGATAGAATTGCACGTGTTCTTCGGGTTAACAAGGAGCTTTTATAAAACAAAGAATGTCCTATTATAGCATTGTCTGAATTTTTTAAAAAATAGTTTGGGTGCAGCATTACAATTAGACCCAAGTATAGATGAGTGTTCATATTAGGAATAAACTACATTATATCTATTTTTTTGTGGAAAAAAGCTGTTAGACTGAAAATCTTGGGGGAAAAAGAAGAAGGAAACTGGAGATTTCATAACAGGATACATTAAAAAATCCATCCGTTTAAGATCTTATGCTTTCATTTCCACAGCTGATTTTAATGATCTTTCTCTGCTTTCAGTGTCTACTGTAGGATTTGGATTTGTGTTGGACATGGGCTTTTTTGAAACAATAAAACTGCTACTTTGGGTTGTATTCATAGACTGCGTAGGCGTGGGGCTCCTGATTGCAACTCTGATGTGGTAAGTAGTGACTTCTGAAGCCGAGTTCAGTATTGCTGTTCAGACATAGAGAGTCCTCTGCTGTTTGTGAGACACTTGGTTCTTTGGGGTAAACTTACACTCAAGTATAGGTTTTATGCTGTTGTAGTAATTGTTTCAAAATTATACCTTAAAAAATAATGCATCTCTTTCTTTTCTATTTCCTACAAGGTTAAATGGTCAGAAGGTCTGTATTATGATGAACATTCCAGATTTTTTCCTTTCTTTTTGAGCTGGTTAATGTTCAGCAGTAATTCCAAATTTTAAAAAAGTGATTAAAAAAAGAAAAATCAAAATAATGAATGAAGAAGTCAAGTAGTGTAAGATTGAGGATGATTCTATTTAAGCAGGGCCATATACACTTGGCCCTTGCTTCTTGCTGAAGATTGTAGCTAGTACCACTACAGCCACATCTCTTCTGTCTTGTGCTTTCTGCTTTGTTGGTAGGCACTGCCAGTTTTATCTTCTACTGTCCAGAGATTTGCAGAAGTAGAGAGGTAGGAGCAGGTAATTTTACAGTCCAGACCTCATCAGCACCATAAATGTGTCCTGCAGCATGAAATTACAGGAACCCACTGTTTCTGTGCTGCAGCAAGGGTAGGGCACCAAGAAAAGAATTTTTATTTTTAAAAGAACTTAATAAAGCAAGAGCATTTAAGAGTTTGTAGGGATAGAGCTGACATCTTAAAATTATGGTGATTGGAAAAGGGCTAAATCCTGACTATTATCAGGAACTCTTGCTTGTAATTGCAAAATTGAGAATGAGGTGCGTTAAAGAAATGTAGTGATAGATGAAAGGTCCACCTGACCTATGCTCCTGTCTGGGACAGCAACCCATAAATTGCTTGGGGAAAGAGCTTATACTAATGCTCCCTGTCCCCAGCCTCCAGTAATTTGTGCTTCAGGATGCAGTCTCCTAAGCCAGGAAGACTTCAGCATCTGCTGGTTTTTTTTGCTTTGTCTTTTAGTCAGCTTCCTGCAGTCCTCAAGTCTCCTGGCTCAAGTTTGGTTCAAGTCCCTTCTTCCATTGCAAGCTCACTTTTTTTCCCAAAAGCTCCCTGCATTCCTAATCAGTCTGAACTCCTTCTTGCCTCACCTTGCATCCAGGCTCTGCCTCTTTGCAACCCCACCCTTGGCACAAAGAGTAAGTCAGAGGAAACTTCCATGAAAAATCTGGTCTCATTTCTGAGCATGTATTGATTTCTTGTTCCTCCTTTATATGGGATAAATATTTTGATGTCAGTAGAACTTAAGTGGAAGAAAAGAGCTTTGAGGCTCATTCAGTAGCCTGTAATACCAGGCAGTGCACATTGCATTTGTGCGTCTTTTCAATAATAATAGGCACATGTTATGAGCACTCTCCCGCCCTCCTCCTGTCCTTGCAGTGCATCAGTTCTGTAGAGATCAGAGAAACCATCTCTGTGTGACGTGTGCTGATCCTGTAAGAGCACTTCACTGAAGTTATCCCCCTGTGTGTACAGAGAGAAGTGGCAGCTTGTGACTGATAAATTGTAGCATTGATCTCTTCCTTATAGAGAGGTTTTGTTTCTGTTACCAGCAGGGTATTTCAGCTGCCTGTAGTACGCAAGGGATGTGATGATCGTTTGAACAAAACCATTTTAACAATAGTCTGGTCTGCATGATTCTTGTACGTTTTTATTCCCACATAGCAGAAACTTTGTGGTGGAGAGTTGGGATCACGTGTGACTTACTACATCAAACCTATGTTTTGTCAGTCAGCTTTATAGATTCATATTAACAACAGGCTCAAATATCTTTTCATTTAGGTTCATTTCAAATAAGTACTTAGTGAAGCAGCAGAACAGAGATTATGATGTGGAGTGGGGATATGCCTTTGATGTACATCTGAATGCTTTCTACCCTCTTCTAGTTATCCTGCATTTTATCCAGCTGTTCTTCATCAACTGTAAGTAGAATACTTTAAAATCTCTGCTTCAAAATGGTGCACTATCAAAACAGTTGAGAGCAGTTATCTCTTGCAGATGTCATAATATCTGATTCTGTCATTGGGTATTTTGTTGGGAATACATTATGGCTGATTGCAATTGGCTATTACATCTACGTGACATTCCTAGGATACAGTGGTGAGTAACATCAACTTCTTTTATATTTGTGTGACTAAAAAGTAGAGCATGTATTCAGGTTATTAATTTGATCTTAGCCTATTATTTGTAAAGCAGAGGCTTAGCTGCATTTTGACATAACTCTTTCTTTGTGGTAAATGTAGTATGATAGAAATGTAACAACCCATATGTTCAGCTGGATGGACATCTTAACCAAAGAATTTATATTCTCCACCTCACCAAATTCCTTCTTGTATTAGACCTGTAGCACCACAACTTAGTTTTCTTGTTCCTCTGTAAATCCACTTGAAGATGTTTGCATTAGATAAAAATTCTGTAATGAGTTTAAGACCACAGTTTTAGGTAGAACAGTTCACCCAGGCATTTTGAGATAACTGTAGGGCTAGTAGGGCAGAGATGTCTGCGAGGACAGCAGAGTAGAGCCATTTTTTATTGCTACCTTGCCCCAAGGCTACTCTACATGAAGCACCTTTTTTAAAGAGCACAACTTTATACTTGCTTCAATATTGCTTCTATTTCAGCATTGCCCTTTTTGAAGAACACAGCTATTCTTTTGTATCCATTTGCACTTCTCATCATGCTCTATTTGATCTCATTAGCATGTGGATGGAACTTCACCAAGATGCTTTGTTCCTTTTATAAATACAGAGTGAAATAAAACCAGGACTTCACGTATCTAATGTTTATTTTGTTTCTACTTTAGCCATTTTGACAGTAAAGAAAAAATTAAGAACATTTTGTATGTAAATGGTTGTAAATTTCTCTTTAT